AGCAGAAATGAAATGAAATAATGAAATGAAATGAGCAATTAGCACAGCAGAAATGAAATGAGCAATTAGCCCAGCAGAAAGAAATGAAATGAGCAATTAGTGCTGTGCAGTAATGAGCCCTCCGGGGCTGGCAGCCCTTTGTGTCCTGCGTGTTTGGAGCAGGAGGAGAAGCTGGGCTGGGTTTGTGGCTGGGGTGTGCCCACCTGGCAGTGCCCGGGGCTGTCCCTGTTGGGGACACTGTGTTCAGCAGAAAGACCCACGGGGCTGTGTGTCTGTCCTGTGGGGCTCACAGGGGCAGAGCATCCTGTGGTGTGTGGGTTTTCCTGCTGAACACACCCTGGCAGCACCCAGAGCTGTGGGGAATGGGGGTCTGGGTGGGTGCAGGAGCTTCTTGGTGACAGCCTGGGATGGGTGTCCTGTCCCATCTGGGTGTCCTGTCCTGCTCCATCTGAGTGTTCTGTCCTGTTCCATCTGGGTGTCCTGTCTTGTCCTGTCCTGTTCTATCAGGGTGTCGTGTCCTGATCCAGCTGGGTGTCTTGTCCTGCCCAAAGTGTCCTCTCCTGCTTCATCTGAGTGTCCTGTCCTGCTCAGAGTGTCCTGCTCTGAGTGTTCCTGTCATGTTCCATCTGGGTGTCCTGCTCCATCTGGGTGTCCTGTCCTGCTCCAGAGTGTCCTGCCCAGGGTGTCCTGTCCTGCTCCATCTGAGTGTCCTCTCCTGCTCCATCTTGTTGTCCTGTCCTGCTCCATCTGAGTGTCCTGTCCTGCCCAGGGTGTCCTGCTGAGTGTTCCTGTCATGTTCCATCTGGGTGTCCTGTCCTGCTCCAGAGTGTCCTGCTCCATCTGGGTGTCCTGTCTTGTCCTGTCCTGCCCCATCTGAGTGCCCTGTCCTTCTCCATCTGAATGTCCTGTCTTGCCCAGAGTGTCCTGTCCTGCTCCAGAGTGTCCTGCTCCATCAGGCTGTCCTGTCCTGTCCTGCCCAGGGTGTCCTCTCCTGCTCCATCTGGGTGTCCTGTCCTATCCTGTCCTGCTCAGGGTGTCCTGTCCTGCTCCATCTAGGTGTCCTGTCTTGTCCTGTCCTGCTCCATCTGAGTGTCCTATCCTGTCCTGCTTCTCCTGGCCACATCCCGCTGCCTTTCAGGAGCTCAGCTGGAGGAAGGTGGAAGCTCCCAGTGCTGCAATTCCAGGAATCCCTGTCCTCTCCTCCCAGGAATTCCACACCCCTCTCCCAGCCAGCTAAATGTAGGGATGGATCCTCCTCCCGAAAGAACGGGAGTTGAGAATCACCAGTGAGAAGTTTTTTGGTGTTTTGAGAACTCCCTGGCAGAGCTCCACAGGAACACAGCTGCTGGACGTGTTGGTTTGTGGATTTATTGTATATTTACAGTGCTCAGACCAAAGGGAGTTGCTTGTTCCAGGACAGATGGTGGCAGGAGCTGTTTGCCCACACTTGTGTACTTTAGTTAACACTTTTGGGGAGGGCACAAGGACAAATCCCTTTCCCTGTGGCTGGAATGGGAGCAGAGCAGGACACACCTGATCCAGAGGGGGAAGCAAACACTGTTTGCCAGCCCTTGCTGGCTTAGGGCTGTTTGGAGTGATCCCTTTTCTGTGGTTTTTGAGCACTTTCCATAAATTCCTTTATAAGGAACAGGGTGTTCAGTGCTGTTCCTAGAAATCCATGCCTGGAGGCTGGAGCTGGCTGGTTCCTGGTTCAGCTTTGGAGCATTAACCATGTGTGTAAACCCTGAGCAAGGTGTGTGTAAGTGCTGCTGTGCTGAGAGAANATCCCAGGGCACATCCCTGCTCCCCCAGGCTCTGTTCCTCACCCCACACTTGCTCTCCCAGGCCCAGGAGCTGCTTTTGGCACGGGCTGAGCCCCGTTGAGCACAGTGGGAGGGATGGAGGCAGCCGTGGGTGGCTGAGGCACAGCTGGGATGCTCCAGGGAGGTCCAGGCACAAGTTGGCTTTGTCCTTGCATTTCCCATCCCAGCCCCTTTTTGTCTCAGCCCGGTGTCCCTGTGTCCTGTGTCCCTCAAACGCCACCTGCCTGGCCCATTTAAAGCACCATTTGTACAAATACCACCCTGCCTCTGTTTGTTCTCACTCTTTCGTTTTTATGTGTCCTAAGTCATCTCAACCCTTCCCAGAGCACAAACCTGCCAGTTCCTGAAATCTCAAATCTCAATAATTCATAACATTATTGTTATGAATAAGAAGCTTGACTAGGCCAATATTCAAGCAACAATCAATTTATTATTTAATATGGTTTAAAGTATGAGCAATACAGCGCTGGGTACAGTGGGGGAAGTTTCCCCTCCAACTGCACAACGATAATTGAGGGTTACAGGTATTTATAGGGGTAATCATCAGTTTTTTTCAGCAGTTTCTATTTCCAATTTTTTTACTCATCAGCAATTTTTATTCCAAATTATTACATCATGATTCTATACACTATTGTGATCTTAGTTTCTCAGGATGTATCTCAAAAGGAGGATCCCATATGGTGGCGGTCCAGTTTCCCTTTGGTCAAAGCCATAAACCCTTGAGGTGATGTTCATCTTCCTTTCTCAAGCTGTTTTTCTCTGCTTCAATAAGGCGTGAGTTAAGCATATTTCCTTTATATATATTCCAAAGCTATAGTTTCAAGGATACGAGTAATATTCTAAAATTATACTTCAAAAGGTTATTATTGCAGAACTCTTTATGGATTAAATGCAGGCAAAAAGCAACATCTTTAACACTTTAATTCCAATGTTCCTAGGGTTAATTTGCAAACAAAAGACAGGTTCAAAGGCCTTTTTCCATGCTTTATTCTCCTCAATTATTATTAGAATTCACAGCTCTCCCATTGTGGGTGTCCACACATTTCTCATTCACAGCTACACACATCACCTGTTTGTACCTGACACGGAACACAGCTTTGTATTTCACAGACAGATAAAGGTGTCATCGCTGAAATTCCATGTCTTGGTCCTGACTGAACGGCCAGGCAGA